TTAAATAACATAGTTTGTACACTGTGTAGTAGATTTTACTGCACTTCTTGGTTACAGTCTCCCTACCTGCAGGATGGGGGGTGGGGTGGGGGAGCTTGTCAGATGCCTGGACAGAAGGCAGGATGAGGTCAAGCCACAGGCTCGGCAAGACAGCAGAATAAGGCAGGGTCTTATGCTCAGACGAACAGCAGGCTGCAGCCTTAAGGGAAATCGGTCAAGATGTCAGGGCCATTGGTGTACAGTCTGGGAAAGGTCCAGGTCTGCAACTTCAGACTAGGACAGCAAACGCTGCGTAGAGTGGTGGAGACACAAGACCAGCTCATGATACACTATAGGCGAGTAGACCATGGCAAGGAAGAGCCAGAGCAGGCATTCTACGTGGGTAAAGGAGAGGCCTAGACATGCGAGGAGGGACCTGGACCCCTCTACTTAAGCTACAAAACAAACTCTAGCTCCTTAACCTTCATAGTGTGGTATGCAAATCTTTCAGACAATTCTAAAAAGTTCATGAAAATTCCCTTTTGCACTAACAAAGCCACATGTGGTCCTCCTATCCTCATCAGGAGTGATCCTTGAGCACAGAGTCTGGAGTAACCACTGGGTATGGCCCCACAAAAAAAACTAATAAACGATGTAAATTTGATTGGGAATGCATGAAGGGGACCAAAGTGGGAAAGAGCGAGAGATCTGGGCTTGGTTTCTAAGCTGGCTGTTGAGGCATGGCCCTAACAATAACCACTGACCATCCATTTGATCAAAAGAAATGGTTAGCTTCTCTTAGACACCCTGTTATGGTTCGCTTGTCACCTTCCAGAAGCTCCAAGAACCAACACGATGGCTTCGTCCTCTCTACTGTCCTAGGACTCAGAGCTGGAGGCAGTCTTCTGATTTTTTACTTCCCAGCCCTCCCACGAGCCTGTGAACTCAGAGGGGCCCCACCTGTCTCTGCTCGTCACAGACATTCAGACAATGCTTGCGAAAGATGGGCCACCGAGGAGCATTTCATGGGACACAAGACAAAGAGCCAGATCCTCCAAATTCCAGTAGGCGGGGGTCACACCCACCACCTGGCCCTCTGGCGCCCTGTAATCCCATCAACGGCCAAGACTCAGAGACTATAATATCCAGCTCCCGGACGAGAACAGTGCAGTCTTCTGCCCCTGCGCCTGGCTGTTCCTTGCCAGGGCCCGTTGGAGGGGAGCGGGTTGAGCTTTCCTCCCCGCCCCAACCAGGGCTCCGGCAGCCGAAGACCTCCAGGACCAGCCACCACCATGCTGAGACCACTCTCCGCACACATGAAGGTACTGGCAGAGGGACAAATCCACACGGGTTCCGGGGCCGAGATCTCCCAGCCTACTCGGATTGGAGTCAAGCATCCTCCACCCAGATCCTCCAAATTCCAGTAGGCGGGGGTCCAAATTCCAGTAGGCGACCCCGCGACATCTTATCAGGACATCTTTTTATGACATCTTATTATCTCATTCCTACTTTGGACAAACTTGCAGGCTATCGAATGTAGCCTGCCCACAGGACAGAGTCTGGCAAACTCCCCGTGGCGTACCAAATATGCCAAATACCAGTAACAATGATGGGTCTCATTCTCCTAAAGAGCCTTGAATATAATCTCAGGGTTAGGATGAAAGAAACGTTACTGGGGCCTGCTCGAGGCAATCGACGAATAACAGGATGATGAAATGAAATGAAAATGAAAAGACAAAGAGCATATACAGGACATTTTGTCTCCCGTTTACTTATTGTTGTTTCTGTGATGACCGGACCACTCACACTTGAGTTGTGTGTTCAAATACTTTTAGTTGTGGGTTCATCCAGTTGTGGTCACACACAAATTTGGTTCTGGTGCTCCTCGGGAGTCACACACTTGTTTGTGTTGTACCAGACACCACACACCATGTGTAGTACCAGGGAACCCCAACAGCAGAGCCTCTGAGATTGCACTCAGCATGGAAGGCAGTGTCCAGGGTCCAACTTGGGGACTCAATGACCTTCTGCTTGTAACCCCTGTGCCCCAGTCAGGAAGAATTCTTGCTTCTGCTCTTCCACCATTTCTAACAGATTATGGACTCAAAGCCTCAATAATGCATAAAGAGCAGGTTCAGATTAGATGATAAGAAACCAAAAAGCAGAGCTAGAGGCAGAATCATCCTGGGAAAGCTTTTGTTTAAGAGGAGAAAGGAAAAGAAAGAGGACTCTGGTATTTGCATTGGTCGATGAAAGAGCTAGCGTAGACAGCGTTGGAGAAGACTAAAGGAGGTACTATGCAAAGTTTGAGTTCACGGAGGGACCAGGGTTAGGCCGGCCATACCTGCCTGAGGACTTGAGTTTGATCTCGGGGATGCCTCATTTGCCAGTATGTAGGTGGCACTGCCATCTGAGACACAATGAATGCCTGGAGACACCAGAGGACAGTCTCTGGACTTCAACCACCATCTGAAGTCTGGGGCTTCAGGTCAGCACTACAACAACATGTGTGAAGCCATTTTATCTTTTGTAGGAATAACAACAAAGGGAAGGAAGGGTAAAAAAAAAGACCTTTGGAGTCTGGAGATGTTGCCCACCTTATTTGCAAACCTGTGTTCAACCCCCAGTACTCTGTGTTTCTCCGAGAAAACACTAGGAGTGATCTAAAAATCCATCCTCCGAGAAGGAGCACTTGGACGCAGACTCCAAACAGAAATGTGAAAATAAGTGATCAACCAGTTTGATTCATATAGTGGAGGTTTATAGTCTATGCCATAACAATTTCTTGAGAAAATGAACCAAAAACCATACTTTGCTCAGCTAAAACATGAATGATTTGCAATTAATTTATTGGGAAAACCACATTTCTTCCAAAAATCTGTCCTGGTTTGTGAGACAGTTTATCCGCATGACCGGATTTCTTCCAAAATCTATCATTTTACTGACAGGTGGGGTAGCAACAAACTATCAAATAAGCCACTAAAGGAAGATAGTTCCCAGACCCCTTCCTGTTTGCTCTCTGATTCTGCCTTGAGTTTTGCAACTAAGAATCACCTATAGGAATCTCTGTTATCTTTCCAATAAAGAAAGATAGCAGGAATTGAGCCTGGAGTTGAAGATTAAAGACTGTCTTTACGAGGTTTCCTTTCTCCTCTGGCATATGTCTCTATTTATACAATGTCTGTGAATGTTCTTTCTGCCTTTTTCTCACGAAGAAAAAAATGGAGTGTGGACAGAAACACAATTTTAATATTCCTCTACTCAACAAGATGCCATCCGTCGCAGAGATATGATTAGAGAGATGTGGTAGAATGGTGTAAGGGTTCTGGAATCAGACTTGTATTTAAATTCTGATCTCTTCTTTTACTAGCTGCCAAATTACTATTAGTATTTGGCAAAGTAACTAATCTCTCAGGAATCAAGTTCAGTCCCTTTTACAAGGTGAAGTTTCATCTTTTGGCCAATCCCAGGGAAGTGACTTAGTGACTTTCTGTTTTGTCAAATAGCAATAATTTCTCCATCAGCAACAAGGAAGCATGCTTGTTGTTGATTAAGAGCAAAATATAGAACTGTCCATTCCTAAGGGATATTTTCCAAAAATGCATAAGATGATATTTCCTAGGATGGTGTCGGTCTTTATTGCTTACAGGCGGTCGTGAAATCTGTTCTCAGCTTGTTACTTGGCAATGTCTTGGCAATCTAATACAGAAAATCTGACTCTGGTCCGCAATACAGAGGGAACAGTTATCAGTTATGTCATGACTGCTTGCCTAGGTCATGTCCAAGGCAAGAGTCTTTAGTTTCTGTTCCACTAAGTTAGTGTCGGACCATGGGAGAAGAAGAATTGTGTACCCTTTCCTAGGTCCATCAAGCAGTTCAGGGAGCAGGGAGATTGACCAAGGAGCCAGAGGCGAGCTTTGCAGGTGTGAGGTCAGAGTTGATCCCTCCCCCTATAGGTCGGCAGGCCATACATACCTCAGCATACAGCCGAGGACCAGCACACTGCAGGGAGTTGCCCAGACAAAGTGCCACAACAAAACATGGAGATGGTTCTATGGCTATGGAGAAAAGTCTCACCATGGGAGAACACTGAAACCTCACATCTATCTTTGAGGCAAAAATAAATGAATTTTTTGGAAAAAGTTATATCCAGACGATAGATTTTGAAAATAAAACCCAACTACTTAATATTTGGAGCTTGGTAGGAATATAAGGTGACTCATAATTCTTTACCCTCAACTCCCTGTAAACATTAGCTTGAAGGGTTATAAAGAATTAATTCAGTGTTTAAAATAACACATCTCTGGGCTTTTTTTTTTTCCTTTTTGGGTCACACGTAGCAATGGTCAGGGATTACGCCTGGCTCTGCTTGGGGCACCATATGGTCTACTCGGGATTGAACCTGGGGTCGGCTACGTGCGAGGCAAACGCCATACCCGCTGTAGATCTCTCTTCTCCGGCCTTATCTCTGGCTTTTCAATACAGATCTACCACTTACCAACTATATGGCCCTGGGCACACCCTTGAACCTCTCAGCTTCTTCCTGAAACTGAAATAAAGACACGAAATGATGCAATTAAATTTATCACTTTTTGGCCTAAATTCTTGAGCGGGGCCTGGCGGGAGTCGGGGCGCGCAGCAGCGGTGGAGGCGGAGCCTGGGCGGGAGGCGGGGCGCGCGGCAGCGGCGGGGGCGGAGCCTGAGCGCAGTGGGCGGGACGCTCCAGCGGCGGAGGGGCGGGGGCTTGGGCGGGAGGCGGGGCGCGCGGCAGCGGGGGGGCGGGGCCTGGGCGGGAGGCGGGGCGCGCGGCAGCGGCGGGGGCGGAGCCTGAGCGCAGTGGGCGAGACGCTCCAGCGGCGGAGGGGCGGGGGCTTGGGCGGGAGGCGGGGCGCGCGGCAGCGGGGGGGCGGGGCCTGGGCGGGAGGCGGGGCGCGCGGCAGCGGCGGGGGCGGAGCCTGAGCGCAGTGGGCGAGACGCTCCAGCGGCGGGGCGGGGCCTGGGCGGGAGGCGGGGCTCGCGGCAGCGGCGGCAGCGGCGGCCGGAGCAGCCTCGGCGGCGGCTGCGGAGCAGACAGCGCCCGAACCGGTGAGGGCTGCGGCGGCGGCGGTGGCGCGCGGGCGGAGCGGCGGTGGGCACGCGGGGAGGCTGCGCGGAGGAGCGCGGGCTGGGCGGGGGCGCGGGCCGATGGGCTGTGCGGGCGCGGGGGCCGCGCGCTCCACCTGCCGCGACGGGGCTGTGTGGCGCGGCCCGGCCCGGAAGCTGCGGGCGGCGAGCTCAGCCCGGGCCCCGCTCGGCCTCCCGCGCCTCGCGCGCTGCGGGGCCGGGCGGGCTCTGTCAGTCGCCGGCGTGGGAGCGGCCGCGCAGCGTCCAGGCCTCGGCGGGTGCGACCTGTGGGCCGGGTGGGCGATGGCAGCAGGTGCCGCCGCCTCAGCGCGGAGCCGTCACACGCGCGGAGGATGCTCTGAGGGCCGCGGCGCGAGCGCCGTCCCTCAGGCGGGGATCCCACGGCGGGCGTCGTTCCTCGGCGCGCGAATCCGGGGGCGAGCGCCGTCCCTCAGCGCGGGGGTCCCACGGCGAGCGCCGTCCCTCAGCGCGGGGCTCTGGGGGCGAGCGCCGTCCCTCAGGCGGGCATCCCACGACGAGCGCCGTCCCTCAGCGCGGGGGTCCCACGGCGAGCGCCGTCCCTCGACGCGGGAGTCCGGGGGACGAGCGCCGTCCCTCAGCGCGGGGGTCCAGGGCAGCGCCGTCCCTCAGCGCGGGGCGTCCCGGCAGCTCGCGGCCGGACGTCGGCTTCTCGCTCGAGGCTCGCCCCCACCCCGGCCCGGTAGTAGGGCGGAGGGTGGTTCTGAGTAACAGGTTTCTGTAGCCCACCCCTGAAGAGACGTGATCGCCCAAGGGGCGGAATGGTGCAGGCAGTTAAGCAATTTCATCCTTTTATAGATGCATAATGAAATTTCGAATAATTGCCGCGTATAAAGTCGGGTAGCTTTGATCGTGGTTCCGCTTTTTCTTCCGCCGACACCTCAGCCCCGGTTTCGGGGCTTGTAATTAAGGAACGCGCCAAACGCCCCGAAAGTGTACGTGGCCTGAATTATGGACTTGATGGTTCCGGAGAGCACATGGAAATTCAGGGTTAGCATCTGATAAAACGGGGCGGGAGAGCCGAACCGAGGTTCGGGCGTGGCCCCTGAGCACAGCGGGGTATGCTCCCCACCCCCTACTCTCAAATCATTTCATAAACATTTTCTTTGAACTGTAACACAGATCATTCTGTAAGGACTGTGAATAAAAAAGAGTGTTCATTCCGAGATTGACTGGAAAGTTCCAAGCGTTTTTACCAGGATGGAGATGACTAGAAATTGGAGTTATTATCTTTTTTTTTGGTGGTGGCGGTGATAGATCTGTTACTGAGTCAGTGGAGTCATTAAGGTGTTTGGTTAAAATTCTGGCAAGTGTGAACCTTGAGAAAATCTGGGTCGCTTTGCTTCTCGCCTGAGTCAATCAATGACAAGGGCTCTTGGCCGGGAGCCTAAGAGCTGCCTCTCTTGAGTGGAGAATAGACTGCATTAGTTTTGCTCAGGGCTTTGGCTTATGCTGTGCCGTTAAACTTCATTAGTTTGGAAACCCTAATTAAAATGTATGACTAGATTTCTAGTAAGTAAATCATCCATTGTTTTTTCTTTCAGATTTTTCCATCTTGTCATTAGAATTCATGATATCAAATGAAAGCTTAATAACTTCCTTACAGTATTTAATCACTTGATTACTTGATCCCCCATTTACTCCAGGTAAAGGTAAAGGCCCTCCCATTGATCGTCGATTTACTCGAGCGGGCCCAGTAACGTCTCCATTGGAGACTGTTGTTACTGTGTTTGGCATATCGAATACGTGACGGGGAGCTTGCCAGGCTCTGCCCTGCCGGCGAGATACTCTCAGTAGCTTGCCGGGCTCTCTGAGAGGGGTGGAGGAATCGAACTCGAGTTGGCCATGTTGGCCGCTTGTTAGGCGAAGGCCCTACCGCTGTGCTATCGCTCCATTATTCATCGATTTACTGGAGCGGGTGCCGGTAACGTCTCCATTCATCTCTGTTGTGTGCTAGCATAGCGCAATGGCATCTGTTGGTTCTAGGAACGTGCAGAGCCTCGAACCGATCATTCAGGGTCTTGACGAAAAAGTCTGACCATCTTGTAGGTGGGCATCCACGCAATCTTTTGACGTCCTGTGGAATCCAGTCAGTAATGGCTCAGTATTTAATATTCGTTACCATTTTCATGTGTTATCATGGTTATAGTCTATTTTGATTTTAGAATTCATTCACTATTGGCTTTATCTGTTTACATTTAATAACACTTTTATTGCAATGTTTCTTTACAAATTTTTGCTTCTCTGTTTTCGATTATGAATTACATGCTCATTGTAAAAAACTTGTATCTGAAATATGACAGCATTAAATATATAGCAACAGGAAGAAGCATTTTTATGTAATGTCACAGGATTAAATTTTAAATTACATAACTCATTAAGTTTTCACTTCACTTTTTTATAATTAGAACTAATTAATGGGTGTTTGTGGACATAAAACAGCGTAAGAGTCATTTTATGGGACTTAGTTTGAAGGATTTTTGCCATGAAGTTTTAAATTCTAAGCTATAGAATCTAAAGCATGCTTGATCTGAACTTGCCTTAACTGTTAACTGTGAATAATTTTAGTTTTAGAAAACAGTGGTAACTTGTAAAGGAGAATATATTTGCATTTGTTTTCAGATTACAAGAGGAAGCAAAGAAGCTGTGTAGTTTATAGTCTGTTCTCTAATCAGAGCTTCTGGTAGAGGAGATTAAGAGGCGTTCCTGGATCTGTGTGTGTGGCTTAGCCAAAGGCAATAGGAAGAGAGAAACTTAAAGTTTTAAGCTTAATCTTTGAAAATTTCTGTGGTTTTGCAACCCATTTCACAACAAATCGTTTGTTATCGAATATAAAATTTTCAAGAATCACACCTAATCTGGTGGGTAAAATTAATACCTGAGGCTTGAAATATCCTTGTCGCTTCTCTCTGTCCTGTTGTGGACTGAGTAGACCAGTATGAGAGGCAAAGGTGGCAGATAAGAGTTTCAGCCTTGAAATGAGGTAGTGTTCTCTTTCTGAGTTAATTTTCTTGTGCAATGTGCTGAGATATGGTACAGCGTTAAGGCATGCAGCTGGCCTGGGACTGAATCCCATATGGTCCCCTGAGCCTCCACCAGGAGTGATCCTGAACATGGCTGAGTATGGCCCAAAAAACAAAAAAAGGGGGGGGGGGCTTTGTCTATTAGTGTTAATAATTTCTATGCGATCTGATATGTTGAAGGCTTAAAGCATAATGGCCAACGCAAGAAAATGCAGTGAGTTACAGTGCCTGATTCATTAACATTAGGCTCTAGTGGTCTTTCTTCACCAGTGAACATTCTCTCGGTGTTCACTGTTACGAATTAGCTGAGATGGTAGCTTTTGAATTGCCTGCAAATGGCCTTATTAATCAGACAAACTCTTCAGCTAAGGGAATTGTCCCGTGGGGTTTTTCTGCATTTTTGGAGGTGCATTAACTCACCTCACTAGAGTGTCACTTAGTATACTGCCAAGTGCATCTTGTGATTCCCACCAGGAATCTGGAGTGGCAGGCGTGCCCCAGGAAATGAGAATATTTATGAATCCAGTGGCCCCAGCTAGTGGCTGGCAGTGGGTTTGCTGCTGTTATTGCTTGGTTTTGTTTTGTTTTAATCAGTTAACATTTATTGAGAAACTGATGTGTCTAGGGAACTGTGCTGACTCCATTTCATTCCATTCTGCAATAGCTTTCCCTGGGTTATAGCAATGTTGAGAAGTGAATCTTAGTTCATGTGGTATCCTGGTACTTTTTCTAAATACCTGAATCCCTTCAGTTTACACCTTGAGAGTAGATTAATCTCTGAAAAAGTACTTTTGTTTTATGATGATGATAAATGGCAGCAATGAATGTAAAATTTTGATTTATGTTAATATGAAAAATAAACCAGAAAAGATTGTTCTTTCCTTTTATAAGTGAAACATACAGGGCCTAGATAGGTGATGTATCTGAGGGCATGAAAGAAATGATGGAAGTATATATATAGGTGCCAGGGCCTTGTTCTAGAATAGCAGTTTTCTTAAAGAATAAAAACATTTACTATTAGCGTGCTATTTTTAATCACGGTCATGGTCCTCCTGTTGTTCATCGATTTGCTCGAGCGGGCCCAATAACGTCTCCATCGTGAGACTTCTTGTTACTGTGTTTGGCATATTGAATACGTCACGGGTAGCTTGCCAGGCTCTGCCGTGAGGGCGAGATACTCTCAGTAGCTTGCCAGGCTCTCCGAGAGGGGCTGAGGAATCGAACTCAGGTCGGCCATGTTGGCTGCATGCAAGGCAAACTCCCTACCGCTGTGCTATCGCTCCAGCCCGCTATTTTTAATCACTTAATCACTTAACTTCCCGTTAGTCGTCGATTTGCTCGAGTGGGCGCCAGTAACGTCTCCATTTGTCCCTGTCGCGTGCTAGTGTAGCCCAATGGCATCTCTTCGCTCCAGGAACATGAAGGGCCTCAACCGATCGTTCATGATCTTGACGAAGAAGTCTGACCATCTGGTAGGTGGGCGGCCACACGGTCTTTTGACATCCCGTGGAATCCAATCAGTAACAGCTCTAGTCCAACGGTTGTCTTTAAATCTCATTACGTGACCAGCCCATCTGATTTTCGACACCTTGGCAAATGAGACAGTGTCCCTGATCCTTGATCGTCGACGGATGTCAGAACTCCGGATTCTTTCTCTCACTTGAGTGAAACGTGATATTCCAAGCATAGCTCTTTCTATTCTTCTTTGGGAGACCTGAATAGCGTTCTCATCTTGTTTGCGTAGGGCCCAGGTCTCTGAGGCATATGTTAATGCAGGAAGAACAGTGGAATCAAAGAGATGTGCCTGGAGCCGGAGGTTCTTCGTCCTCTTAGCTATTTCTTCGACGTTCTTGAAGGCGTTCCAAGCTGCTCTCTTCCTCCTGCGCAGCTCGGGTGCCAGGTCATTTGTCATGTTGACCTCTCGACCTAGGTACACATAGCTGTTGCATTCGGAGGTGGTCGTTCCATTGAGAATGAAGACAAAAATGATCGTCTGTACTTTCAATGCACGTACGCTAGCATCAGATGCATCCATCGAGGACCTGATGGTACAAGCGCGAATGATCAAGTACGACATCATTGGTCTGACCAAGACAAGAAGGCACGAATCTCACCATGCCGTTTTCGACACTGGAGAAGAACTGTTCCTCGGAACATGCGATAAAAGAGGTGTTAGAGGCGTCGGTGTCCTTGTCAACACAAACTTGGCCAAGAGCATTGATTCATTCGAATGCCTAACAACCTGAATCGGACGTTTACATTTGAATAGATGTGGCTCACTGCCTGCAGTTTCTATCTTTGTTGTCTACGCACCAACATCTCATTATGATGAAAGAGAAATCGAGAAGTTCTACATGGAGCTAGAGAAGTTCTATAAAGAAGACCACACCTTCTACAAGATCATTGTGGGTGATTTTAATGCCAAGATAGGACCGAGAAGATCAGCTGAAGAACTTCACATCGGGACCCATGGCCTAGAATGGAACGAACAGGGTGAGAGACTGTCTGAGTTCATCATGTTGACCAAGACCATTCATGGTAACTCACAGTTCCAGAAGGCAGAATCTAAACGATGGACATGGGAGTCTCCCGGTGGACGATTCCACAACGAAATAGACCACATCATATTCAATCGACGGTTTTGCCTGACTGATGTCGCTGATGTCCCAAAATTTCGAACGGGATCGGACCACCGTCTCCTTCGTGCAAAATTCTACTTCACAGAGCGGGGAGAAAGGGCTGCAAAGTTCAAAAAGAGAACTCCCAGAATGACCACCAACTGGGAACTCTTTGGTACTATTGCGGCAACATGGGAAGATGCCATTGTTGACAACATTGACGAGGAATACGATCGACTGGTTCAGCACCTCCATGAATGTGCGAGGAATGCCAAGAGAGAGATAGCCACAAAAAATCGCCTATCTTCGAAAACTCTTGAGCTAATTCGCCAGCGTGGTTTGGCGTATGCCTCAGGCAACCGCAAGCTAACGTCCGAGCTCGCAAAGCAGTGCAGAGATGCGATCAAGGAAGACCTCAAAGAGAGAAGAGCAGAAGTACTGGTAGATGCGGCAGAAGCTGGGAAAAGTATTCGTAACGCTATTTTTAATAGTACTAATAAATAATAATTACTAATAATAATAAGTAATAATAATAAGTAATAATAATTACTAATTTTACTAGTAATAAAAAATATTACTATTAGTTAGAGAAGACTCTAACCCAAGAGCGATTATGTGACCCCTAGCATTCTCAGCTTGGAATCTGGCTCACTGTCTTAACAGGCCCTACAATTTGTCCCTTTTTTTTTTTCTTTTTTATGCAGGAGTACTGCTATTTATCCAGCCACTGAATAAATGTCTGATTGAATTGAACATGAGCTCCACCTTACTTTTTTAAATTTTTTATAATTTTATTTAATGAATCACTGTGAGAGTAGTTACAAAGCTTTCGGGTTTAAGTCTCGGTCATACAATGAAACACCTGTACCTTCACCAGTGCCCATTCTCCACCACCAAAAACCCCAGTATGCATCCATCCCACACACTCCCCCTACCTGTGGGGCAGATGATTTCCACATTACTCTCTCTGTACTTTGATTACATTCAATATTTTGACATCAGACCCACTGTTATTATTTGGGATTTTACCCCAACACTTAGATCTGGCTGGAGCGATAGCACAGCGGGTAGGGCATTCGCCTTACAAGCGGCCAACATGGCCGACCCGAGTTCGATTCCTCCGCCCCTCTCGGAGAGCCCAGCCAGCTACCGAGAGTATTCAATATGCCAGACACAGTAACAACAAAGTCTCCAATGGAGACGTTACTGGGCCCGCTCGAGCAAATCGACGATCAACGGGAGGGCCTTTACCTTTTTACCTTTACTCAGATCTGCCGAAAACAGTAACAGTCACAGTAGACAATTTGTTTTCTGTTGCTGGTTATGAATAACATATGATGTCATGCAGCTGCAATAGTGGCTGAGCGATTTTGGAATTCCAAAGTTTTAACAATTAAATCTGGAGGGATTTCTGCCAAAACCTGCTAGGTTCTGAGATTTGTTCCTGAGTCTCTTGGATCATGGTTGTTAAGCAGATTGATCAGGAGCCAGAGAGGCCATTCGTGGGTGGCAACTTGGGGTCTCTTTGGGGCGGGGAGGAAAGGGCCGGCTCCACCTCCCCATCCTGTGAGGCCCCACGTGTCTTGTCACTGAGGGCCCAAACCTGACTGTCCAATGGCCTGCGGAGGATGGCGGCCACTAAGATGCCAAGGGGGAGCAGGCGGAGGGACAACACCCTTTCCCCCCTGGGGTGGCCTAGTGACAGTAACCTACTGCGGGGTCCAGATGCATTTCTGCCAAAAGCCAGTGGGTTTCGAGATTTGTTTCTGAGTCTCTGGGATCATGGCTGTTAAGCAGCTTGGTCAGGAGCCAGAGAAGCCGTTTGTGGGTGGCAACTTGCGGTTTCATTGGGACGGGAAGGAAAGGGCTGACTCCACCCCCATCCCATGAGGCCCCACGTCTCATCACTGTGGGCCCAAACCTGAGTGTCCAGTGGCCTCTGGAGGATGGTGGCCACTGGGCCGCCAGGGGGAACAGGCCAAGGCACGAAACCTATTTCCCCCCTGGGGTCGCCCAGTGCCAGTAACCTACTGCGGGAACTGGACGCATTTCTGCCAAAAGCTGCTGGGTTCTGAGATTTGTTTCTGAGTCTCTGGGATCATGACCATTAAGCAACTTGATCAGGAGCCAGAGAGGTCATTTGTGTGCAGCGACTTGGGGTATTGTTGGAATGGGAAGAAAGGGCCATCTCCACCCTCATCCCATGAGGCTCCGTGTGTCTCGTCACTGAGGGCCCAAATCTGACTGTCCAATGGCCTCTGGAAGATGGCACCCACCGAGCAGCAAAGGGGGAGCAGGTGGAGCAACAACACCCTTTCCCCCCTGGAGTGGTTCGGCACTGATAACCCATTGCGGGGACCAGACACATCTCTGCCAAAAGCCGTTGGGTTTCGAGATTTGTTTATGAGTCTCTGGGATCATGACTGTTAAGCAGTTTGATCAGGAACCAGAGAGTCCTTGCCTCCAATTATATAGCTGAGCCAGAGGTGGTTTGTGGGTATGTCTCCCACATACCTAACTTTTGGCCATTTACTGTCATGATAAACTTTGCCCCAAGTTTTGGGGTCTGTCCAAAGGCACAGCAGCAATTTTGGGGTATCTGGAAGTCTGAAGGAGCCATCAGGCTGCTGATGCACAATTTTTCCCTTTGAGCAAGCATAACTTCTTTCTCACAGAGAAGAAAACTAGCAAGGGAATGTAGTTTGAAGCTTTAGTTTTCCCTAAAAAAAGGAGAATAAATGTCCTTCTCATGTATTAAATCAGGAGATCAGATGTGGGAATTATCTTCATGAATATAATTTAGCCCCTCCAAGTGTCTGTTTGTATTGGTGACTAATGATGAAACCAGCATTTTGCTGTCCTGAAAGTTACTTGCTTTTTCTTTTCCCCTTGAACAGGGAAGGGAGAAAACCTATGAAGATTGAAGACAATCCTGATTAATACTTAGGAAGTGTTGCTGCAAGACTTGCTCCCTGTAACATCTGGAACCATCTCTCTTCATGATTCTCTTGGCCCTGGGGCAGATGTGCTGGATACTTTTGACATCAGGATAAGAAGAAAGCCGAGTGGCAGCACACATATGGACCAGTGTGATGGTGAAATGAGATGAGGCTCCGAAATGGAACTGTAGCCACTGTTTTAGTATTCATCACATCATTCCTCACTTTGTCATGGTATACCACATGGCAAAATGGGAAAGGTAAGGGAAATTGGTGCAAACGCTCTGCATACAATATAGTCTACTTTTTGCTTTGTGGATGATGAACAATAAGTGCTAGATTTAAAAACCCTAGTGAGGCGAGTTTGTGAAACTGCAGGTGGCAAGGCGATTTCTTTCTGATAGAAAATGATACTAGTCCTGGACAGAAGAGACAGGATTTTTGATTTGAATGGGGTTTGTTTTGGTTTTGATTTCTTATCATTTCATTTGGAGATGCTTACCAGTAGTTTGTATGAGCCAAAGACTTCAGTTTTGTGGCAGCCAAAGTTGAATGATCAGGACTTCAGTTTTGCCATTTAAATTGTATTGTTAAACATTTAAATGTTTAATAAACTTCTTGTCCTGGATGTTCAAAAGGACAATGATTCCTTCATGAAAATACTGATTCTGTTACTGATTTGATGCTGTGTCCCAAAAGGATGTAAGCTGCAAGTATTGACAAAGTGCTCCTTATGCAAACTGTTTTTGAGGAAGGTGAAGAGATACTCTGATTAAAAAATTATTTCTTAATGTGCTTCAACTATAAAAACTGTTTCCAAGGGAAAGTTATCTGTTCTATATTCAGGAATAATGCCATTGCTTATTTTGAAGACAGTATTGGGACTAAGTTTTATTTTATTGGAAGTAAAACAGATTTTATTTGGAGGTTTTTGAAGGGAAGGAGGAAGAGAAAGTGGGTGAGAGTGGAAAGTAATGTGCTCAAGAGAGAACCTGGACTTCTTCAAGGTGGAGAGAGCTCCTACACATATTCCAGCATTAGACAGGAAAGCATGAAAGTACACATCTCAAGAGGGGAGATGCAGGTGACATATGTGCTCAGATGCCACCTATATTCGGCCATGTGGGTGCAAGCAGCACATGAGCTCAAGCAGCATATGCTCCAGGTCTAAGGTTTTTTTTTTTCTTTTTCAGTAACACCTGGCAATGCACAGGGGTGACTCCTGGCTTTGCACTCAGGAATTACTCCTGGCGGTGCTTGGGAGGGTGAGGGGGACCATATGGGGTGCTGGGAATTGAACCCAGGTCCGCTGTGTGCAAGGCAAACACCCTACCCGCTATAGTATCACTACAGCCCAGCGCCTGGACTAAGTTTTAATCCACAGTTATTTCTTCTCTGTTTCCCTGATTTGATGTAAGCAGTATCTGCTTCAGAAGAGTGATGAAATGAGCACATAGGTGGTTTGTTAGAATTAAGTTTGTCACCATCATCACCATCTGGTTATTTGAATATGCTGCTGCTGGCTTTTAATGGCTTGATGGAGATAAGTGAAATGTGGACTCAAATGATTTTTCTCGGCATATATAAGAATATAACCTTGTCAGTGTATATGCATATGTTTAAAATAAGATGATATAAGTGAAAAACATGTTCTCTGGGGCCAGAGTGATAGTACAGCTGGTAGGGCACTTGCTTTGCATACAGCCAAGCTGGGTTCAGTCCCCGGCATCACAAGTGGTCTCCTGAGTTCCAACAGGGGTGATCCCTGAGTGCAGTGCCAGGAGCAAGCCCTGAGCACTGACTGCCCAGTGTGGCCCAAAACCCAAACCAAACCCAAACCAAACCAAAACATATGCTCTGTGTTTTGACCAAATGTGGTATTTTCTCTCTCTCTCTCTCTCTCTCTCTCTCTCTCTCTCTCTCTCTCTCTCTCTCCAGTTGTGAGGGGAAACTCTTTGAGGGAATAATGAAAGGCTTTCTTTGTGAACAAACACACATTTTAGGTTTTATTTTGTGATTGTAATTTACAGTGGTTGATTTTATAGAAGACATATCAGGAATAACTTTGAATTTTTAATCAGTATGTTGATTTTCCCTGATGTGACTGGCCTAAAAAGTCTAACAGATTGAGACACTTGGCTATAAGAAGAGTTTAGGGCTTTTCTTTTTGTCTTATTGGGAAATTGAGATATTCAGAGTAATGGAGAGCCTTGAACCTTCTAGTTGTCTTACTTAAGGAATTTGAAGTTCTGTGAAGTTTCTCTTATATTGTTCCTTGTGTAAAAGCATTATGAGCATTTTTAAAGTGGAGATGTTAAGTTGGCTTTAAAATCAAATTAAAAAAGTAATTTTATTTTTTCCCCTTTTACTTTGAAATTTTGTAGCAACTAAAGTATTTAAAATGAAACACATATTTACAAAAAAAATAAAATCAATTTTAAAAACTGCAGATATCCTTTAGCTATGTGGTATTGCATTCATACACAAAAATGCGTGTTCTCTAATTATTATACTTTGAATAGTAGCCTTCTGTGTGTAATCTTCTCTTTTTTTCTGCTTCGTATTTCATCCAGATTCAGATACCAACAGAACCTCCTGTTATAGTTATGTAAAACCCTTTCTGTTTCAGTGTTATCATTTATATAACCACTCTAACTGTTGACTATTTAGGATTTTTTCTAGATATTTCTGGCAGTCAAATTGTGCCTGGATTTTCCATAGCAGGCCTGATATCAGATTGTTAATGCTAGTGTCTACGCCCATAAACCATGCATGCTGGATTTTATTTTGGAAGTGTATTTTCCATAAATTATTGATATTGCCAGGCTAATAGTTTTTTATTTTTCACTACATCATTAATCCTTTTTGTTGTGAGTCTCTTTCTTCATGTCTTGCACTGTATTATATGCTATGGATATAAGAATCCTGAAGACTCTTGAGCTCAGATAAGGAAGATACTTGTAAACAAATAGGATGTCATCAGATAGTAGAAAAATAACAGTAACAAAGTGCTGTTATAAGCATATTGCATGTTTATGTTATCTAATTCTCATGACCACCTGGGAGGTTTTATTATTACCTTGCTGTAGATGTGGAAACAGAGATAGAGTGATCAAGAAACTTGCCAAAGCCACCTTAAGTGCTGGCATGAAGTTTGCAGTTGGATAGCTGATTCCACAGATTATTCTTTTAATTATTGATGTGTTGCTCAGAAGAGGAGAAACAGGCTACTAATTCCTTAGCGCACATCACAGAGATAAGAGTCCTTTTGAAGATGGTGCCAGGCAGAGAAGGGGACTGTGAGCATATGCAAAGGAGCTGTATGGGCAGAGTTCAGAAAGTGGTGGCTTTTATGCTTAAGGGGAGGATGGATGCTCAGGGTGATCAGCTGCCTCGACTGTCTTCCAGGATGGCTGATGATCATAGTGCTGTTCTGATAAGTGTTTCTAGTTATCTGTCTTCACTTGAGTGCTTCTAAGAATATCTGAGCTGGCTGTGGGATTAGTGTGAATTGTGGAAGGTGTCAAAAACCCAGTGTCAAAAACCCAGCCAAGCAAGTAGATCTTGAGGCCAAGCTATCAGTTTCAGTAGGATAGACAGTGTTCACACATAAAAATCAGAATGGGAATACCAGAATTCCAATCACGGGGCAAGGACAGATTGGGAAAGTTGCAAACAGGCGTGAGACCAAGGGAGTTGTATGTCTCACTTGCAGAGGAAGGGTGGGTAAGGCTTTTAATACAACCTTCTTTAGGCTCAGACCTAGAGCAGAGCAGGCCTGAACAAGCAATTATAGAGGTCTGTCCAGGGGGACATATAACATCCGCACATAGGTTTCTATGTGGACATGTTTTCATTCTCTTGGGCACTTACATAGGAGTGAAATTGCTGGGTCATGTTGCACACAGCTTCTTAAATTTCTTGCACTCGTGATTTCATTTTTCCTGAGAATTTTAAACAAAACCCCAGGTGTAAAGATAAATAAAATAGGTGCTCACATCGCTTATTGTTAATACATCATGAATAAATTTATTTTTAAGCAAGTTTTGAGGATTTTTCGTGACCCCCACATTATAGTTGCCCAGCCACATCAGGGATCATGACCCATGGGGTAAGAAGTTAGGATATAGGAAACAACAAAACAACTGTATTGTTGTTTAAGGAATCACTAGACTGTTTTGTAGCACCCCTGGACCACTGTAACATTCCCTCCAGAAAAATATAATGGGTCTGATTTCTTCACATTATTTACACTTGTTAGTGATTGTGAAATATTTTATTGTGGTTTTGATTTTCATTTCCCAGATGACTAATAATGTCTAGCATCTTACTAAACTACTTGTATTTTTCTCTGGAAAAGAGTCTACTCAGATCCCTTGACCATTTTTTTCAATGGGTCTCTCATTTCTCATTAAGTTTAAGAGAATATGAATTAATATGAATTTCTCATTCATATTCCCTAGGTGCAGATTTCCTTATTAGATACTGGGCTTATACATATTGCACATTCTGTGGGCTGTCTTTTCACAGAAAATTTTAATTTGATGAAGTCCTGTCCTTGCTTATAATTTGGCCATTAAATCTAAGATTCCATTATCAAATCCAAGATCATAAAACTTCTCCTTGGAGCAATAGCAGAGTGGGTAGGTTGCCTTGTACACTGCTAACCCAGGTTCGATCTCCACTCCATGAACGGTTCTTTAGCCCCACCAGAGTGATCTCCGAGCTTCGCCAGAGAAGGCCCCCAGAAAACAAGCCAAAAAAAAAAAAAACCCCAACCCAAACCACTTCTTTTTTGTTTTCAAAGAATTTTATAGTTATTGCTCCTTAGCAAGATTTAGGTCTTTAATCCACTTAAGGCGCATTAAAACCTTCTTCCCTCTTCCCTTTACTTTGTTTCTGACACTTGAGAACCTTCTGGCTGTAGAAATTAGTGGGGGTCAAGCTTCTGGCCCCAGTGCTCTCACATCATTATCTGCACTCTGGAGATGGTACACCCTGTGGCAGCAGCGGGGTCTCAGATGGCAGAGCTGTCAAGATCCCATTCATTCTGTACATGGGAGCAGGCGTGGGCAGTGGTGGGACTTGAACTCAGCTCAGCCTTGTATTTGCAAAGACGATGCTTGTGCCACTGCCAAGTCATCCAGTACTCTTAGATAATTCTGTGTGAAATCAGTTTCATTCATGAGTGTACCTATCTGTCTGTCCCTACCCAGCAGAGCTCAGGGGCCCAGGGCCCACTCCCAGGGATACTTTGTTG